GTCTCTACAGTAGAGTCACTGAGTATCTTGCACATTAAAATGTGACAAAATGGAGACTACTGAAGATCTTATACTCAGAATGCATTTCATTATTGTTCTTCCAACTTTATCCTCATTACTAATATTATGCTGACAAGTAATAGAGTGTAGTCATCAGAGAAAGGGTCCTGGAATTGATTTTGACTTCAGTTCTTCTACTTGCTAGCTGTATGACCTGTATGATGACTAACCACTCTAAGCATCAACCTATAAAGTAGGTAATAACATACTCACTTCATAAGATTTTGTGGAAAACTGATAAAAATAACATATATTAAGTGCTTGGCACATTGTAAATGCTGTTGATAATTATTATTATTTGGCACAGATAAATAGCATGTGTGTATATGTGTGTGTACACACACACACACACACATCACCTAGATTAGGTGTCCATTTTTTGTGAAAATAGAATATATATGATAGAAATTATTAAGCAAATTTAAAATTTTTATTCATTCTTTTTATTACTATTGTTACTTTTACTATTTCTAATTTAAGTAGAAATTATCTTTCTTAAAAGAAGAAATATCAAAGCCCACTTACTGGGAAAATGCGATTTCAATTGTTACTGTTAACCACCAATTTGTAACTGGCTTTTCCCAGAGAATTTCATGGTGAGGACTTCTGTAAACCTCCAAAATCTTCATTTTATGGTGTATTTAATTCTATCACTTATTTTCCCAAATTGTGTCTAGATCCCCTGGGTTAATAGAATGTGTGTCCCAGATGCCCCATAAGAAGGGTGGTTTTTAGTAGGCATATTGACATTATTTGTACATAGTAAGAGAGTAGAAAAGGACCAGAAAAGCTTGGGCATTTACCTTGTTAAATTTTTATAGCTAAGCTCTGGTTCAAGTGTCTGCTTAAACGACTTAACTGTGCTAAGAAAAATGGGATCATTGAGACCAATGAAATGAGTCCACAAAATTCTATGAAAATGAACCAGTTCTGGAAGAAAGCAGTATGTTCAATAATCCAAGATACACAACTAGAAAATTAACTAGGTTAATTGACCTGAAGAAAATTTACACTTTTTCCTACGAAGAAACACATACACAAAAAATCAGGGATATTTCTGTTTATTATATGATAAAAAAATTATTTTAATACCTTTAACTCACCTCAGTGTTTTCCATGCTCATTCTATACCAGACATTGAAGTGCACAAGGGAGCTCAGTGGTTTGCAAGGCCAAGTTCCTGTTCGTAGTGCCCTCAGGCACAAGTAGAGATGGGGCATAAAAAAGAGGTCATTTCAATATAAAATGATATGTTGTGCAGGATCAATCACAAGGCTCTTTTGCTGCACAATAAAAGGACACCTAGCCAGGGAGATAAGAAGATCTGAAGAACGAATAGAGATTGGCTAGGTAGTTCTGGACAAAGGAACAGAAAGTTCAAAGGCTCTGATGAATAAAAAACAAAACATGTGGCATATTCAGAGAACTACAAGTGGTTCAGTGCAGTTGTGTGCAGTGTGAAGAAGTACTGGACAGGCATAAGAATATGGAGAGAAACAGGGTTTTATTCAAGGCAGGTTTTATGTACCAATACTAAATGGTATCCACTATTCTAGAAACAAGTCGGGCAGCTGCAGGCTCAGTTCAGCCCATTGGATGTGTCTCCATTATTAGATGGGTTACCACACTTAAAATATATAAGTTTCTCAAAGAAACTCGGATTGGGAATTCTCTTGAGAGATGAGGAATTCACCTTGGATCTTGCAGCCCTGTCCTTGACAAGTTGCTTTCGGAGGAATGAGGGCTATTTTATGATTCACCACTCTCTCACTTGCTTTACTCATTCATAGAAACTGCCAGCCCCTGAGGCATTTTCATTTGTAAGAGAAACTACAAAAATTAAATTTTCCCTAATATATTAGTCTGGCTGATATTGTAGGTATCAGGACTAGAAGCAATGCATTATTTAGGAGATTCCGCTGACAATCCAGACAAGTAATGAGGAACCAACAGAGCAGTTGTGGTGGGAGAGGGAGAAAAGAATCCGAGTTGGCATTCCTAAGACGTCCTCATGGCGTAGGTGATCTAAAATGAAATAGAGGGAAGAATAAAGGATGGCATTTTAATTTTCAGGTATCAACTTGAGAGTCATTGCTTCAGTTTAGGACCTTTGAGAAGCAAACACCAAGAAGGAATTAGACCTGAAAAATAATGCTTTGGTGAAATGCCTGTGAAGGATTAGGACAGGGAGTAAGACAAGGTGTTGGGTGCTTTCAGACTGAGATACATGTCAGACACTTAACGGACAGAGAGAGCAAAGGAGGGAGAATCATGTAGGAAGCTCAGGCTGTAGTGCAGCTCTTGGAAAGCCTGCGCAGGGATGAGATTCAAGATTGCTTATCAGAGGTATCCCCAATTTGAGAAGCACTGGCCTGACTCTAAGTCCCTCTGTGCTCCGTGGCCTGGTGTAAACTGTGCTGGAGATTTTGAAAGTACAACAGTTTGAGGTTGTCACTTAATTGCTCTCCTGGAAAGTTCCCTCTGGAAAAGAGATGTGACCAGTGAATGCCCATAGCAGATACAGGTGCCATTCATTGAAGTATCACATTCATGTAATGAGAGAAATTAAAAATGGTTGCCTGTAGAGAATAAGAAATGGGTGGAGTTAGCAAGAGACTGATGTTTCCTTAATTGCCCTTTAGAACTGTCTGCCCCTTACATACTATGTACATGTAAGTAAAAAGGACTTGTGGCAGAGATTGATATATGGAGTCCAAAAACTCTTTCCTTCTCTATTTGGGCACACTCCTTCTTCCACATTCTTTTGCAGTTAAATACAGCAATATGATTGAGTTCTAGTCAATGAAAAGAGAGAATGATGTGTACCATTCACAAGCAGGGCTCATAAAATCTGCCACAACAATCCTTCCTTCCATTTTACAGGCTGGAAGCAAAGGATTCCAAAGCCTTACAGTCCATAAGATGGAGAGGGTGAGAGAGATCATTGCTAGCAAGCCACGTGGCAAATGCTGGCAAACAGCTACTTGGGATTATTCTGTGTTTAAACCTTTGTCTTTTATTATTTTAAGATGATGATATTTGGAGATGTAACTATTATAACAGCTAGCATTAACACAACAAGGATGATCCAAGATAAAGATACATGTAAATATACGGCAAGTAAAGATATGTAGATCTTTACATAGTGTCAGGCACAGCTTTTATCTTGGAAATATTTTTTTTCTAAAGCTTCTTACTTATGTCTTCATTATATATCTATGAACTTATTAAGGTTTGTCTAACATCATAAATTTAGCAAATTCATAATGTTAAACTAAATCCTCCTTATTCTCTCCTTCCACTAATGTGCCATTATTTGAAAAAACACTCAGGACCTACATCTTGTGATTCACTTTGATTCCTACCTTTGAACAATTCTCCCATCAAATTATTAAATTCTGTTAATTCTCCTTTCTTTATACATCTTTGTACATATTCCATTCTTGCATTCTATTACCATTATCAAAGAGTAAGTGCATAGATAGCTTCATGCCTACAATCAAAATATACTTCTAACATCATATCATCTACTTAACCTACAGCCTCCCCCAAAACCATTTTTGCTAATTGCCACTCTCACTGTTCTCAGAATATTTATGAGATTACAGTAGTAATTATGTTTATGGAAAGAACACAAATAAGAAGATTACAGTTTGAAATATCTGTTTACCTAATTCCTCGGGTGACCTTGGGAAGGTAACTTTGACATTCAGAGCCTTGATTCCCTCATCTCTTGAATAATATCTATTCACAGGATTGTTGTGAATATTTAATGAGGCAACTTGTATATGATGACAGCAAAATACCTGTCTTGTAATAGTGCTTATTAAGATATTTATTTAATATATATATTCTTTACCTCTTCCCCTTTGTTTAGTTAATCTGCTTATAAATCATTCTCTATGTCACTCAGCAATGATCAAATGCTATTTCTCCCTCAGGGAAGCTCAGATCTGTCTTGTTTGTGACCTCTCCCTGTCTACTTCCACTTCTATGAAAATCTTGATCACTTGTCTTATCCTTGCCTTATGTTGTGAGTTAGAATTTTTGATTTTCATGTGTAATTATTTTCTTTAAGTAGATTGCAGATGACCAGGGATCTACTTTATATAAAGTATCAGGTATTTCTTAGAGGATTATTTGCAGTTATGACTGTTTGTTTTTGAATTTTATTTGTCTTCTTAGCCTGTCCCAAATTTCGTCTCTTTTCATAAATGATATTCTGATTTTCTTTTGGGTGTAACCAATATGACACCTCTAATCCCTGTAAATGATCAATTCAAAATGACCCAATCCATTGCCTCTAAGGGCAAGCACAGTAATACATTCTCACAGTAATTTGCCAATCTCAGTAATTCATTCTCCTGCCCAAGAGGGCTTGGGAGCTAAGCAAGGCCCCAGGATTTCCCCTGGAACAACTGAGAGATGCTAAGTATCTCACAGGAATTACAAGGTAGAATTATATTAACTGGAGCAATATTAGAGAAGATATAGTTTGCAAACTAACTTAGTTGGGAGAAAAATAGGGTCAAGTGAAGAAGACAAAGAGTGAAGATTTCCTCTTGGACCCAGTTGTGCCAGATCTATTTATTAGCTAGGAAGTTCATCTCCAGACTTTGCAGTTACATGGGCTAAAACATTTATATTTTTTCCTTAAACAAATTTATTTGGTTTTGTCACTTACAATCAAAAGAGAACTACAGTTGTGTCCTTTAATAATGGAGATCATATTTACTGATTGTTTTTCTAGCTTATTGATAAGAAGATTTAGACAAAAAAATGTGGATTACATGACTTGAATCCCTTCTCACTAACGGAGAAAGAAGAAACAGAAGCACATCCTTTGTGACATATAAATTTCATTATTTTGCTGTTTGCATAAGTGCATATTTTCATAATATTTAAAAAGGCTTCAAAGACCACTTCTGTATTTCAATCTGTAAAAAATATTTTCATTATGTTTATTATAAAAATATAAATGTTTCCACTACAAATCATTTTACATTAGTAAGAGGCCATCTGCATTGTACAACATAAACTAAATGAGCAGTGTTTTGAAAATACAAGTTTAAAGTAAATACATATTGCCAATCATGTCACATTTATTATACATGGCTTAATTGATACTTACTATAGCATAAAATGGGAGCGTTACCAGAAATAAATAATATATGTAAATCAAATTTAAGATACAAAACAGATAATATGGTACACAATATTGTAAAGGAGTTGTGGTTTCATGTTTATTGAAGGTCAATGCAGTTCCTGTACAAAGAGATGGCCATAAGCATTCTAGTACCTCTACCCACAGTTAAGAATCGTACACTGTTATGTTTACATATGTACAGGGTAAGAATTGTGTAAAGTAAATTTCTAAGAGGTCAGATAGAAAAATAGTGAAAAAGTGAGGAGCAATACACTGTGTAAACAACCTCTACTTTCAAATGGAAACCACAGCCAAAATAAGGGAAATAGATTAAAAAATCCTCAACCTCTATTTCATGAAATGCACAGATTTTGTTGAGTCTGCTTGAATAGTACCTAAGAAAGTCAGTGCTAGTGTGCAGGAAAAAAATGAGATTAAGCCAGATTTAGACCTCAATCTAACATTCTACAACACAAAATGATTGATTTGAAAAAAAAATTTAGCTGCTTCTGGCAGGCTTAAGTGAAATCTGTAACTTCATTATTGCATGTATCATTTTTAAAAATTAATGCTCTTATATATCCAACACAGAATGCTAGTAGAATGATTTGACTATAAGGAATATTGCAGAAATTTAAGAAATAATCTCATATATGAAGGAACACAACCAAAGCCATATTATATTTAATTTACAAGAGATTAGTGATTGTGGATTTTGATCTGTGATTATAAACGGTATAGTGTTTCATTTTGCATAAGATTGCCACATTGTATCATCCATTCTTCCCTTGTGACATACGTTTTTCTTATTCCCATGACATGATCATATCAGCATTGGAAAGAATATAGATAGAATTAAAAAGTTGCTTTCTGATATATTAGTGGCTAGATCTACACCAGGTATACCTTCTCAAATATTCCTAAATATGCCCCTAGTTGTCCTTCATGGAATGGTAAGTCTAAGTTCCTGTAATGCAAGATATGTCCACTGTATAGACTGAGTCATCTGCTAGATAACCAGGTATTTTGAAAATCTTATGATCAATAAATGCAAAGAAGTTCAATGCTTCTAAGTTATATAGCAATAGTACAAGTGCATTTCAGTGGGAGACTCTTAAAGGTAGTAATACCTGCTATCAGTCATCACACTCCTTAATTAATTTAAATGCCAGTGATGCAGATGAGTAGTTTAGTTATCATCATTCCCTATAAACAGCTCAACAAGTTTAAGCAAAGATATTAAGTGACATTTCAAAGCCAGTCAGCAAGTGAATTTTGACTCATGCATTGGACTATAGGCTGTGTTGCCAATTAATGCAGCAATCTAAATAGGATTCCCATTCTCTCCAGTGTAGCTATTCTTTATTCAGGAGCCTGGACATAGCTTCTTTACCAGTGAAGGAAGTTGATGGTTTCCAAGGCACCAGAGCAGAGCAGTTATGTCATTGAGAATTCATTACATACAAGCCAGTATATTATACTAAATTAGGAGCACGAAGTTTATAATAAATGGAGAGACAAAAATGGATGGGATAATTCAGACTTTGTGAAATTTGGTTAGTATATAAACAGGGAAAGAATTTGGTTTCTTTCTTTCTATCTATATATATATCTATCTATCTATCTATATATATATAGATAGATAGATAGATATAGATACAGATACATTTAAGTGGGTGGTTCAAAAAAATCTAGAAAGAAACCCTTCATTCTCTATATCTAGCTTACCGTGTTTCCTACTGCTGACAGTTTGAGAGAGCATTTGGCACTTGGCTGTAACAAATCCAAATTAAATCATCAAGGCATAAATAGAAAACAATAAAAAATTCAAAAGAAAATAAATATGTACTTTTCTTCAAAATTAAGACACTTTTTTACATGATGATACTTCAGCTAACAATTTAAAAATGTGTAGTACTTAAAAAAAACTACAAACTTCATTTCTATATGCTTTTAACAGATAAAAGAGAATAATACAATAAAAGGGTAGTAAATATGGCCAGATAGTTTGAGGTATAAATTTCCTCTATTTTGCTTGCTTTTTAAGAAACAAAATACCTGTTACTGATTTCTTCTGTGTATAAAAATATCGCCAGTCTTTTCTTTTGTGGCCCTTAGTAAACAGAGCCACTATGTTCATTATGTTATTTCACTTGTTTTGCTTTTATGATGGTCAGTTTATGATCAATAGGTCTATGCTAGTTCTTCATTTCGGGCTGAAGAATTTTAATTTAACCCATCAACTAATATAAAAAAGCAATTACGAAACAAAATACACCCACCCGCCCGTCTACTAAATTATAGGGGGAAAAAAAGAGTTTTTCACTTCCATTTTAAGGCATTTTTGTACTCATATCTGAGTGTCTCATTGGGCTTGGAATTTCCACCAGTGTGTCCAGCATTGCCATCTGTCGCAGAGCAATACTGCATCTTTCACAGCCACCACTTCCTTGCAGAAATAGCACCTTACACTGGAACTGGACCATTCTTTGATTGTGTTTCTAGAACTTTAATGCTACTGATGATCTTCTTCTGTGGCCCAACCACAGTGACACCAACCTTTTTCATGTCACTGTAAAAAAAGGAGAAAATATCTAGTGAGCATCGTGGTTTCCTGGATAGTATGTAAGCAGATTCTCAACTAGCAAAGCTTGCACGACCACGCATCCTAGTGCTCTCGGCCTAATATTCTGATTTTTGCATCATCCATGTATGATAGCATGGCTATTCCACCATTATCCTTGTGGAAGAATATAGATAGTGTAGTTTCTGTCCATCAGGACCTCACTGTGTGACCTTATTTGGAAACAGTGTCTTGCAGATGTAAGGCAGATGAGGATCAAGATGAGATCATACTAGATTAGGAAGGGCTATATAGCTACGACATTATCCTTAGTAGAGACACAAGAGGACACAAACTGATACAACAACAAGGCCCTGTAAAGATGGAGGCAGAGAGATTGGCATTATGTCACCACAAGCCAAGGAACTGCACGACATACCCGGAGCTGGAGCGGCAAGGAAGGAGCCACCCCTAGAGGGTTTGCTCAGCATGTCCTGTCAACACCTTATTTCTAACTTCTGGCCTCCAGAATTGTGAGAAAATAAATTTCTGTTGTTTAAGCCAGCAGTGTTTTGGTAATTTTTTATGGCAGCCCTGGAAAACTAATATAGATGGTCACAAATTCTTTGGGATTATTATTCCATTCCACTGAATCTGGGCAAGCTCTGGGACTGCTTTGACTGACAGAATATGTTGGAAGTGACACTATATCAGTTTCTGCACTCAACTCTTAAGAAACTGCTGGGCTCTGCTTTTTATCTCCTGAGACACCTTTTGTGGGCCCCCGAGTTGCCGTACAAGGTGTCGTCTAACCTGAGTCTCTGACTCTGGAGAGCCGAGGTGTAAGCTCTTCGTCTACAGTCCCAGCTATGCAGCCATCTGCTCCGGGACAGACATAAGTGAAACCACCTCACACCCTCCAGACTAGACTAGATTCATGTTAGACGAATGCTTCAGTCAACACTAGAGCAGAAGATTCACACACATGAGCTCTGCCCAGTTTGTAACCCATGACACTGTGATATACATCAAAACTGTTGTTTTAGCCGTTACATTTTGAGGTAGTTCATTGTGAAGCCATAGATCACTGGGACAATTTCTTTAAAGTATAAAGTTTTTTCAAAATAGAAATAATGACTAGGATACATCTCTATTTATCAAAATTATTAAATTTTAAATAGTTTAAAAGGATTATAACAACATAAGGCATTTTAGGAGAAAATACAAGAGCTAAACATGTGCAAATGATTAATAAAATAGTATTGACTTAAGTAATTAGTTTATTTGACCCCTTTCAGGTCTTGACTGAAATACCCCCTCCCATGACACCTGATCTTCTAATTTAATATTGTAAGATCTGTTTTCATTCAGACATGCATTTCCTATTTGTTTTTGCTTGTTTCATTTTCATCCAAAACATTTATCACCATCCAATATATTACCCTCCTTTCTGATTTCTTTTCTTTATTGTCTATCTTGTCCCACAAGAAGTTGAATTCTACATGAACAGGGATTCTTAACTCTGCTTATCAACCACACCCTGAACAAGGACTCTCATTTCATAGGGGCTCACTTTTCACAAAGAAATGAGTCAATCATCCAAAATACATTTATCTGGAAAAGCTGATGGAGGAGTAAAGCATCACTTGGCAAGGGTTCAAGACAAATTGACAAATGGCAAAAGGAAGAGGCACACATTGAACATAAAGGAAAAATAAATTGGGAGTTCAACTACACAGAAATGGACTAATTAATTTCTTAAGAAATGAGTTCCCAAGCAATAAAGGTGTGGAAGCAGACAACAGGTAACCATTTAAGAAGCAATTAGAAAGTTATGGAGCATCTGGTGCATAAAATTAACCAAAAGTCAGTTGCATTCCTATCACCTGGGCTGGGAATGAAATCCTGATGACCTGCCAGGTTACCCCCTGCTGCCATTCAAGGTGCTGATAATTTCTGTGTGGACAACTCGTATCTTGCCTAAGTTCCTCTCTGATTGTACTCTTCAGGTGTCTTGCTTTGCCAGGAAGGCTAGTGGGGAGGTATGGTAACACCAGGCTTGTTGCTTTCTGTGTAACTGTGGATAATTAAACCTTCACTTGGATTAATATAGGCTATCTGTGTAGGCCCCTGCTTTTGAGAGTATGTGTGCTAAGGGATGTTAATTCTTTATGGACCAAGGATCTATCTTTAAAATGAGCAACAAACATTTCCCCACTGATCCCCAAACTATAACAAAGTCAGGTTACGAATCTAGAGGCAGAAATCTGAGCAGATAAAAATGTATGTGTACAAATCAAGAGATTCTTGCTCTTTTTGTATTTCTTCTCTCTTCAGTCTCACCCTATTTTTCATTCCTCGCTGATTTTCAGTCTGTCTCTTCCCTTTCTTTACAAGCTTAAGAAAACAAAATGATAATCATGAAAAGCAGAAACAAAAGTTCCAAGGTAGTGTACTAGCATGCCGAGCTCCTTGAGGAATGTAAGCACAGTGAAGGGTAACACATGCTGTGACGCGGGCCCTGATTCCCTTCCGGAGCTGCAGCGCCTGTAACCCGCTGGCTGGAAGAACAGTCAGACGCTGAGAGGTGACGGCCCAATTTGGGACGGCTGCGAAGGGTCAGCCCCGCTCTCAGCCTCTTGCTCCAGCAGGAAGGGCAGGTCTCCTCCCACAGGCCAATGCCCACCTCATCGCTTCCCTACAGACGGACGGCACACTCCTCAAGAAATCTACATAGAAGTGTTTCGGATTCTGTATCTGGGAACCCAAACTAAGCAAATAGATACATAATTTTGTTTATATTTAATGCAAAGGATTATATTGTAAAAGAGAATTAAGGTAATTATCCCTTTAGGTTTTGCCTTTGTTTGAGTCTTATAAATCCTCTACCCCTGACTAATTGTGTTCTACTGACCGCCCTGCCACATCCAAAATAGTTCTCAACACCCAGCTGCTGCAGTCTCAGTAACACTCCCCATATGCTTATATCGTTTTAACTACCGTGCTCAGAAGAGCAGTGGAAAAGTTCAAGACTAAAAGCAGCCCAAGATTGAGACCAGAGGTTAATAAGCTATCTGGTACTTCAAAGGCAAAGGGCTAGGTGATGACACTTTGAAAATGGCATCCAAGGGTGCAGGATAATGACATGTAGCAATTAATCTGCCTCATAGCCATTCCACACACTTAATTCTCTCTCCAGTTTCTGCAGTCACTCTTGCTCTTTCTTGGTCTCTCTTCCTGTCTCCTATTAGCCTTCCTAAATCTCCCTTAAGCTTTGAAATAATACTTTTAAAAATGTGTTTACTGAATAAAATTGCACATTTTTGGGATTTCACTTGAAAATTAGATGACTTGAGTAGCTTGCAAGTACATAAAATCTCTAAACTAAATGAAATAAGTTAATATTTATTTGAGTATGAAATTCTGTTGACCTTTTTCTGTAATTTAATGGTCTGGACAGAAAAGAAAAGAAATTCAATACCCTTTATAAGATACCTCTATCTTATTCTAGGAGAAGCTCTAGAGTTATTTGGTTAAGGGAAACTTTTCTGAATTGAGTCTCGATGGCACAACGAAAATACAGATTGAAAGGAATAAAACTCAAATAAGCCCAAAATGCAAAAGGATGTGTGAAATAGTACAGAGTTGAATACATCATAGCACATAAGGTGAAACTGTTTTTTCATTAGGTTTCCCCAAATTATTAGTGTATTTAACATTTCTATACCTTCTCATCCTTGGAATATAAACTAGAGGCACGAGGCAACACCCCACTGCAGAGACCCCAAAAGTAAACGATTCTTTTCAAGGAGTTTTAGGTCAATATATGTTAATTCTATGTTGTCCCTGAACTGAGGAGAAAGAGCATTGTGGGACTGAAATATGGAAAGATCTGAAGCCGTCTGGCTCAGTCTCAGGAAACAGCAGCTTCCACTGTGCATGGACATTCACAGGTTGTTTACATAATAATAATAATCAAGTGAAAATACTCCGGTCAGCCAAAAAGAGCTTGTCTTCCAACACTGTACTGTTGAGTGAAATATATCACCAACCTGGAAGTATATAACCAATGTTGCCACTCCACTTTTTTAAGCAAATAGCTTTCTTACAACATTCACAGGTTTTAACCTCTGAGTGTATTTAAATTATGAGCTAGCCATTCATCGTGTTAACAGTGTTCTGTCTCATTCACTTCAATGTAGTGTTTCATTTTCTAAAAGCTCCGAGTGTTGATATTTTCCTGAGAATAAACATTTGTACACCTTTGCCTCTGAAAAACTGGTGATGGCGCAGAAACATTCAACTTCGTGTTTGTTCTCTGCTATGCTTCTGTGTTCTAAAGTGGGTGTCTTGCATATCATAACCCTAGTTGTTTACATTTTGATGAAATAAGAATTTATAAAAATAATTCAAATATACTAGTATATCCTGGGGTTTTGTCTGATCAAAATAACTACCACAGAAACTCAGTGTATTGTTGATTGGGTCAGATGTCTATTCAATAAACATTACATTCCACTTTAAACAGTAATGCCAACACATGTTAAGCAATCTAGAGTTTATTTTCCTTTATAATAGTGCTGTACTCTTCCTAAACATCCTTTTGTAACTTTTTGTATTTCTGATTAGAACGCTGTGCTACAAATGGTAAAATTATTTACCTGTTAGTCACTTGTATCTCTCCTAATTACCAGCATGCTCTTTTTGACATCTACTCTGTGGCTCTCCACAGAGACTTTGTTTAAATGATTGACAGGCTGACAACAAAAGCCTTTAAATATTTAAGAACACTTAAATATTCAAACATTGGATGTAGAAGATAAGGCATAAAGGAATTGGAGGACACTATCAGGTTTATTTAATGTGACAAAGAGCAAAGATAGGAGCCTAACACAAAGATGGACAGACACAGTTTCCCAGCAGACCTAGGGAGCTACAGAATCATGCACAGCCCTTTTTGGATTTGCCAAGCATGAAACATTTTTCTTTGTGATAGTCCTCTACCTTAGCCCAGCAAAGGAACCTCAGAGCCAAGCTCATGCTATCTCGTCCCACTCCGCCTGACTGGAAATGATTAGACCATGGCGACAACAGGACTTTGGACAAGCCTGCCTGCAAGGAGGCCAGCACCTATCAGAATTTCATTCCTGGGAACTTAGAAAAAAAAGAATGTTAGACCCTGGTCAGCCAAGCGGCACACCCAGATTGCATGACCTAGGGTTGAGAAAGCCACTTTCAGCTATGGGTGTGGGAATGCAGAAAAAGCCACTATGTGGAAAAAGAAAAATGATGCAGTTACATTAGGAAGTAAAAAAATTGGCTCTCATTCACAGAGAGATGAAGAAAATGGCTTCCAGCTCTTCAGTTTCCAGTTTCCAATTACCATACCTTGTAAATGAGGACTAATTTTATGGATTATTCACTGGATTTACTTGATTCCTTATAAACCTCCTTTCCTTAAGCCCAGGGGTTTCTCATATCAAAGGATTACTATTACCAACAATTGCTAAGAAACAGAGCATATTATACTTTATTATTTGGCTTTTAGCACATGAAACCATAAATCAATACTAATTAATGCATATTAAATATGTATATTCTATCTTCCCAAACTGATTATAAACCTTTTAAGGAAAAAAAGTCATAGTTATTTATAACTTCATCTCTAGCATGATACCCTTCAGAGAGTAGACACTCAATAATAGATGGTGATAGAAGATGTTCATTTAGTAGATGTGAAAATGACTTTTCGGCTTAAGTGTATTTCCCTGTATAACAGCTTATCCACTTAGTTCTCAATTTTTCACTTCCAAGAGATTAAGCTTTGTTAAAAATAACAGAAAATCACAAATGCAGGAATCCTTAGTCACCATGCTATATTTACTTATGTCTTAAATTAAGGGCTTGGGTTTGTGGTGTTGGGTATGGATATGTTGCTATTGGTCTATCTTAAAGAGGATATAGTTCAATAAAGACACGTACTGTGGGAACCTGTCATGAGGGAAGAAGATACACTGACATGCATCAGTCTAAAGAGACTTATTGACAAAGGGCCCCAAGGACCCAGCTCAGGGGTTGCAGGAGACAGTAATTACTTCAGAGGTTCAAGTTTCATAATGCATTAGTTCTAAACATCTATGTTCACTAGAAAGCTCAGAATCATTCACTCTTAAAACATTATTCTTACTCTGTTGAAATCTTGGCTATGGTGTCGCAGGAGCTGTACTCCACACCTGTGAAGATTTCCCTGCACTGCACGGTCCGGACTCCGTTAAGCCAGTCACCTGCTGTACGGAAGGTAGTGATGTCGACATTGCTTTGGTCCAGAAGGAGGTTTGATGGCCTGCAAGAAGAGAGATCACCAAAGGGAGAGAGATCAGGAGTCAGCAGAGTTGCTGGGTGTTAAAATTTGACACCAACATCAGCAGGAACTTCCAGACTTCATGAGGTGTTCTTGTGTATTTGTGGAATTTATCTGCCATGAAGTTTTTATCTGTTGAAGCTGCTACTTGAAAGTATACTGTGAAATTACCTTGTCTCAGTAAGCCCTTTCTCCACTCACAAGTACTTTTTAAATCATGGAAACTTTGCCAGTGAAATACATAAATATATCCACATCCACACACACTTTTATAATTTAATTTTTTTAATTATTAGCAAAGACAGTGGCAATTTGGGACATAGTGATAGCAGACACACAACATACCAGATACTTTGCTGTCTGCTTGCTGATGGATTTGGTTTCCAATATTACATACTGCCCACTGGATATTCACTTGTAGATAAAAGTTGTTATTTAAAGGACAGTTCGAACAACCCAGACTGTACTTAGAGCAGGACATAAAGTCATCACAGATTTAAATAATGTGCCACATTAAAAATAAAATTATAAAAGGAATAGAAAAATATAGATGAGTAACAATAAACGTATTTCTCAGATATCTGACAACACCAAATGGAGTTCATGATATAAAGAGGTAGAGAGACATGTGATTTATATAAAGAGGTAGAGAGACTGTGATTAATTTATATTGCACAGCACAATCAAAAATAGAATTCCTTAGATTGTTTTATATAATCATAGCTCTGATCATGGATCTATGACTAACTGCAAGATCTGATGAAGCAAAGGAACAGAAAGGAAATAAAAGACAAGGAGGAGGCCATGTTTTTATCCCAGAGAGCCTAAAAAAGCAGCAATTGGTAAACTGCCATTGGCCTTTTTTTTCAGCTGTTAGTGACATCTTCCACTGTTTTTTGACAAGAGTGGGACCAGTCAGCAGGTAGACCATTGACTGTCTTCTCTATTCTTTCCTGTTAAGGAAGAGAACTTGAGCAAAAATTAATTATGCAAGCCTTTGAGATGAATAATGATAATAATAACAGCATAAGGACCATACTGAACATTTATGAGCACCTATAATGGCCCAGGAACTATGCTAAGAATATTACACAGATATGAAGGACTTTAATTTTCACAGTGTTAGTTAGGCACCCATGTCATGTCCCTATAACAGATGTGAAAGCTGAAACTAAAAGAGATTAAGTTACAAATCTGACTTCCCTCAGGCACGAAAGAGAAGGGATGCAGACACAGGTTATTTTATGCCAAAGTCTATACTCTTGACCACTCTTCTTGTTATACAAATTAGGTGAAACTTTGTTCATATTATATTTCCCCTGTTTCCTCTTAAACTATTTATGATTTCATGATGTGGCCTCTGATTTTTATATGCCATAAAGTATAGTGGTTTAGTTCACAGATACTAGAAATCAGGCTTGGGTTGAATCCTGGGTGTGACACTACTCTCTGTGTGACCTTCAGTGATTTCTTGTCTATTTCCTCATCTGTAAAATGGGGATGACAGTAATAATACAGACTTCACCAAAATGATGATTAAATTAGGTTCTAAAAAGATTAAATATGCAGGCAGCACTTAGAGCAGGGCTGGCACGCAATAAGCTATCAGTTATTTGTTATTCTGACGTAAGTAATACATCTAGTGAAATGACTGAAGTTTTTAAAAATTTTGAAAAGAAAATAACATAAATTCCAGTTTATACAAAATGCTGGGAATTCGATGATCTTGTTAATTACCTGTATGTGCAACTGGAAGTTAAATCATACATAATATCATGTTCATAATAGGGCAACTGCCTTGTAAAGTAGGTATAATTCGGGGCTTATTAGAACAGTCACCAACTTTTACAAGCTCACAATGATTCCATAGCCTACGCCCATAAATGGATATGCTATTTGACTTTTGTAGTTTCTGGTTTCATTATTGCAATAAAATGTTTTATTAACATTAAAATTGTATGTGTCATAATCTAATCTTTACCTTGCAATTAGGTAGGTACATTTAGACTTTCACCTTTTCATACTTATCATACAGAAACTTTCACGTTTTGTGATACTGAAGTTGGATTTAATCAGCAATGAGCTTTAAAACTTTTCTAAGTGCTTATTGTTAAAATCCCTAATTTTAGACTTTTTTAAGCTCAAACTTCACATTTTCAATATATAGGAAAATATATATTGAAAATTAATAATTTGCCTAACCAAAATCCATCATTTGAAGTGCTTAAATTCAACATTTAGTATTTAGTTGTCAGGAGACACCAAAGTGAGAATATATTGACATGCATTTACTCTTATTTTAGCAATGAATTTAGCTCTCTTAGGTACTAATTCCAATAATATCTTTGGAAATAGGATAAAGTAACAGGAAAACAAAGCAATCTTGACAAAATTAAATCATATAGTGTTTTACCTAAAATAGCGACCCTTGATTATCATCTAGAATATATGGCAAAAACTCATGTTTTCTTCAGAAAATCTCTGAAAAGGAAATCTACAAATATACCAACTCTACCCACACTTAAAAATAATTTTTAATTGAGAAATTTATCAGCTCACTCCTGAATATGCCAGGCAGGCTTAATTTAAGAGTGAGGTTAAGACTCTTAAATCTGAAAAATTTTGTACCATGCCCTAGAATGCATGAAAGGAATGCAAATTGACTATTCATCTGGATTTTCATGGGGATACATTAAATTTATTTGAAACATATAAAATTTTTAATTAATGAAAATAATTTTAATTAATTTTTCATTTGATAAAAATGACATTTTAAGGACATTTTAATGCTATGTTTTAGGAAGAAATTGGCAACATGACAATTTGGTTCTGTCTACATTTTCATCCATTATGGAAAATATAGATCAATAGCTCATTCCCTTCCTGTCATAATCATTTTGAAGTAGAAAATGGTGAACTTTTCAACCTTCTTTCCAGTTGACTAAACTCAACTACTTAAATTCTCTCTACTTCAAGTGTTAGAATCATAAATTAAAAATTAGATTATGGAGTTTGTAACATATTTATGTTTTATTATTTGGTTTCATCTAACCTTCAGGGGTTATCTAAAAAGAGAAAAGCAACAAAAATTAGGCATTCTTTTATGAAGCATTTGTTTTCTTTCTTTTAGAATACTTGGGAAACTACACAATGTAAATAAAACATTTTATAAATTATTCTCTTCCGCAACATATATATATGTATAATTTTCTATACTTAAAATTTTATTTAAAATTTTAAAAATTATAAAAAAAAAGTTTATTTTAATAACTGAAAATTTCTTATTTTTGTTTTTTCCTAAAAACTTGAGGAATTACAGATATACACCCCGGGTTCCAAAACCAATGCAAGAAATAGCCTTTGTCACTAGCCAGCATCAGCCCATTGAATGGGTGTAGCCAGTCACTACACCCATTGAATAAGTCATTGAATCAGTAAACAAACTGATAGAAATAACTTTAAATCAAGTATGAGAAAATGTTATTAAAAAAATGAAGTAAGACCTGTAAAGGGAGACTAAAAAACAGTGCACGCAAACACTCTGCCCAGACTGGATTTCTCCAGTAGCTATAGCATAGAATCTAATGTTGATTCTTGGTCCTATGAATAGCAATACTTTCTTATTTATGGGTTTGTGGGTATAAAGAATCAAACCCCAGGACATTTATTCAGAATATTTATGAAGGGTGCCTAATAGTAAAATGCAGAATTTTTTTGTCTTAATTCAAAATGGTTTGTATTTTTAAATTCAATACTATAGCCAGACTTAACAAAAGTTTAGAAAAAATTAGTACAAATAAATTGAAAGTAGAACAGGACGTGCAGATTAGTGACTAGAGTGACCCCAACTGAGTTTTTCTGTTTATTACTTGGATCAAAGTACAAGGAAGACAAAGAATGACCTAATTTTAATGCCAGTGACCTCAGAATAACCAGCCCTGCGAAGTATCATTTTTCCACTTCCAGGATTTCTCTGGGGACTTCAAATAAAAATTGGTTCCTTTCCTCCTCCGAGAGGACATCTGGAGAGTTTATCAATGGATAGGAATTTGTCTCTCACTGTGAAGAGCCTGTGATGTCTCTTCATGCGCACCAAGGGAACGGGGGCTTTTTGAGCAGCTGCAGGCATTGCCTTTTTTTTAGACCCAGCCCCAGACATTGGGTCTGAAAGGGAAATTTATAGGCTGGGTGATGTGCACCGTGAGCTCACACTTTTACTAGACAAATTAGATAGGTTTCAATCTGTGCAGCTGTAAACGATGTCCTGCAGAGTTCCACCTGATCTTTTACAGCTTTTCATAAATCAGTACCTACTGGCCGCAGACCTCAGTCATTAAAAAGAAATCATGAAAATTACATGTTTGCTCAGGGGAAGCAAAAAAATAAGTTTTCTCCCTTTCTCTCTCCCTCTTTGTACTTAAGCTTGTGAATTATTCTTTTATGGATTTTCATACTGTTGCATTAAAGAGGTCCTCATATTTTCTTTGCACCAACTCCTATTTTAACCATAAATGGTTTCATACTAATAAGCACCAGATACTGGGGAACAAATATCAATAAAAAACTGCCTGTCCCAGGAATATTTTCTCATAATGACCTTATTTCAATATTGCATTGGAGTTCTAAAACACTAGGGTTGAATGTTGAGTGACTCTTTTATAACATGAAAAGATTCTTTTTGGTTTATAAAGGGTTTTATAGTTCATGTATTAAAAATAATGATGAATATGCATTTCTTGAATGAATAAGTAAATGCCTACTGAGTCTAGAAGTAAATATCAATAATACAGGATCTAAATGCTTTGCCTCTATAATTATCTACTGCTTGTCTGTTGTGAATGGCTTCAGGGAATATATTAACTCTTAAGAGTAATTTCTTAAAGCTAAATATTAATTATATCTACATTTGTTATCATCTGAATATAGTAATGTATTTTTCCATACATTTTATAGTTTGCTATAAATATTTTTATTTCAAGTAG